ATGGTTGCGGCAGGGGCAGGGGTGTGGCTCGGCTCGCGCCTCAGCCTCGTGGATGCAGCCCGCCGACCGGCCTTGGGGGCGCCCGCCCGCGGTCCCTTTCTGGAGAGGAATTGTTTTGTCCAGAGTGTGGTGGCGCCGCACCGTCCACCGCACCGCCCGCCGCGCCGCTTGCACCCTGCCACTGGCAGTAGAGGGCCGGCCTGCTCTCCAAGTGGCCTATTTTTACGCAGTGCGCCGCCATGCCGCCGCCGTGCCGCCGCCATGCCTGCTGTTGTCTTATTAGCTCCGACGGGCCGATGGGGAAGCAAAAGGGCTCCTGGGCGTCGCCCGGCGTCGCCCTCCCCCCCCCCTCCACTGCCATCCCCCTTTGTGTCCTTGCCGTCTGCACCGCCGCCGCTTTGCCGCTGAGAGTTTTTTCGTGTTCGCGACGCCCTCTCCCCTCGCCGCCGCCCCTCGCCTCTCGCGCACCGCGGCCTTCCCTATCTTGTCCACGGCGACGCGGCGCCGTGCGGGGGCTGCTCTCCGCCAGCCGCTGACGTCACGGCCACGTCACCGACGCGTCACTGCCGCGACACTGCCGCGACACTGCCGCGTCACCGGCCGTGCGCCCCGACTGACGGGGCGAGCTGGACGAAGCGGCCGTGGCGGTGCACAGTGCGGTGGCTGTGCCGTGGCCGGTGATTGGTTGGAAGCGACGAACCCCACCGGGGCCGGGCCCGGGCGATGGCGTTGTCGCCGCGCGCGCGCCGCCCTCCGGGCAAAAGTGTTATCGGGTCGACAATGTGGTTACCCGACACGTATTGCTTGTGCTTGGCGCGGCGCCAGAGCCGGCGGCCACCGCCCCCCGGACGCGTGTTCTCGGTGACGACGTGTGTGACGTCCCCGTCCCGGCCGTCCTGGCCGTCCCGGCCGTCCCGTCCCCAGAAGTAGCCACCTGGGGCGCGGCGTGGACGAGGCGGCGGAAGGGCGGCGCGCGATAGTGTAGGCGCCATCCGCCGCCGTCGTCGTCGTGTCGGTGCATAGCGTGCACGCTGTGTGGTGGCGTGCCGTGTTCCGTGCTGCCGCCGCTGCCGCCGGCTGACCCAGTTTTGGGCGCGGCGCGTCCAACCTTGATTCAAGTTGTTATCGCGCTGACGGGATCCGCGCTGCGCTACGCTGCGCCGCTGCTGTCTCTGTACGCGGTGCTGTCGCTATCTGGGCAAGGGCCGTCTGAAGGGGAGGAGGGGGGGGGGGCGACGGACGAGACGGACATCCCCTCTCTGTTCCACAGGTACAACCGCCGCGGCAGGCAGCAGGCTGGCGTAGGCGGCGCCGCGGCCCCGTCTCTCGGCGCGCAGCGCGCAGCGCGGAGCAAGGAGCGCCTGGCGGACGCGGGGTAGGCAACCCGCCTGCTCGCCTGGCGCGCGGGATGCCTCCCGCTGGAGGGCGGGCGGCAAAGGCGCCGCCGTCGTCGTCCTCCTCCCATTGACCGTCATTGCGGTGTCGTTCCCCTCCCCCTTCCCCGGCTCGGCGGCGAGCTCGGCGGCGCCGCTTTCAATCCCCATTCTGGGCGGGGCGGCCTGGCGGCGCGGCCTGGCGCGGCGGCGCCCATTTAATTTTTCCCCTGCGTCTGTCTGCCGCCGTGCTCGGCTCGGCTCGCCTCGCTCGACTCCTTGACTGCGTACTGCGTGGCGTTGCCGTTGTCCAGGGGGACTGCGGGGACGGCGGCGGGGCGGCGGCGGCTGGCGTTCGAACCCCCCGCACTGCTGCCGCCGCCCCCCTCTCCGCGCGGCGCCTGGCGACTCGGTCGTCGTCGTCTTGGTGAAGCAGGGCGTCGTCGCGGAGGCAGGCCGGCGAGTGCTGTTGGCGCTGCCGGCCGCGCCGCCCCGCCTCGCTTTCCGGACCGTTGGCCCCGTAACTCCGCTAACGTCCACCGTCCTCTTTATTTTAACCCCGCCGCCCCCATTATCATAGACAATGGTGGCGGCCGCCCTGCAGTGCAGCAGCCTGCAGCCCGCCTGGTGGCGCTCTCGTTGGGTGATGGGGCTGCGCCGTGCTGCGCCGTGCTGCACTGTAGGGGCGTGCCGATGGTGGAGCTCGTCTCGGACTTTGCCGTCGTGGTCGCGACTTCGCGACGGCTGGCTTGCTCGGCGTCAAGTGCGCGCGCCCGAGCGGCAGTGGCGGCGGCGCGGCCGGCCAGAAGCCCCAGCCGGCCCCAGCCCCTCCTGCCGCTCTGGGCGTCAGCTTGTCTGTCCGGACGGCGCGGCGCGGCGCGGCTCGGCTCGGCTCGCCTCGCCTCGGAGGCACGCCTTGAAGGGCGAATTGACGGTGGCGACACGCTGCTGCTCGCTTTTTGCCAGCCTCGAGTTTGCCAAAACTTGAAGAGGAAAACTTGCGCGCCATTTCTTTTCTTTCGTCTCTCTCTCTCTCTCTCTCTCTCTCTCTCTCTCTCTCTCTCTCTCTCTCTCTCTCTCTCTCTCTCTCTCTCTCTCTCTCTCTCTCTCTCTCTCTCTCTCCTCTCTTCTCTCTCTCTCTCTCTCTCTCTCTCTCTCTCTCTCTCTCTCTCTCTCTCTCTCTCTCTCTCTCTCTCTTTTTCTCTCCCTCTTTTTCTCTCGTCCCCGTTAATCCCTGGCGGGAGGAACACGTAACCCGCGTCTGTCGAAGACCATAGCGGGCCCCGCTGGGACATGTGGTTCGCGGCTCTTGGGCGGGCTGGGGCCCATGGGCTGTGGGCGGGGACGCGGGGGCTGAAAACGCGAGCGGGTTGAAGATGCCGGAGGGTTGAAGACGCCGGAGGGTTAAAGACGCCGGGGGGGGGGGGGGGAAGACGCCGGTGGGCGAAGACGCGGGGGTTGAAGACGCGGGGGCGAAGACGCGCGCATCGGAACTGCACCACACATAACTGCAGCTTTAATGCCCCATGAGTGAGGCCGCACTGCGTGGCACTGCGGGTGATGTACGCGCATGGCCGTTACTCCGTTACTTGCGGTCCTTTTCTGTCTCCGCCAGTGAATTACTGATCGCCCGGCCTGGGCTGGCCTGGCCGGGCAGAGCCGCCGCTACTTCATCTTTCCTCCCGAGCTGCCTCGCCTAGCCCCGCCCGGCCCCGCCTCGCGCCGACTCCGCGCGACAAAGTACTTTTAATACCTTTGAGCAGATGATACCTTTACTTCAAAACGTACCCTAAAACTACAAGACACGTGAAAGTGTCAGCTTGCTTTTATTCTCGCGTCCAAATACCAAGTATATTTCAAATTTACCAAAGAAATATATGAAAGAAAATTAAAAAGAGTTAAGCTAAATCCTAGAACATGAAAGCAGATGATACGTTTCGAATTGATAAAAAGGCTGTGGGTATTGTAAAGCAGTCTGACTCACTCACTCACTCACTGTTTCTCCTATGCGCAATATTATTAGGGACTCGAGAGTTTAAGCAGTAGCTGAGACCGTCATGTGTCCTAGTTCTTGTCTAATTTTGTTTAAAAGCTTTAAGGTAATCATCTGCTAAAAATGTTGTCCCGTCTTCCCTTGCGTGTTGCTCACGTAACCCGAGGATAGGCACATGAATGCGGTGTGTTACATGGGCACGCCGGGCAGCCCTAGTCCTCTCTCCCTCTCTTTCTCTTTCTCTCTCTCGCCCCAATCGCAGCGCCCAAGCCGCACGCTTCTGAGTTAACCCGGCGGGGCGGGGCGGTCCCGTGGGCAATTCCCCCTCGCCTCTCTTTCTCTCCCCCCCCCCTTCCCCCTCGCCGCCGCCCCCTCAGACCTAAATAAGATTTGTCCTCAACTTGTGTGTGCGCGAGAGCAAAGGGCTTTGTGTGGGGCGCATGCAAGGGTACATGCAGGGCATGACCAGGGCTTCGCTGGGGGCAGGCCCAGGGCAGAGGCCTCGGGCAGGCCGGGCAGGCCGGGGGCAAGTAGCACTGGCCTGCCCTGCTCGGCCCCGCTGCACTACTCGGCCACTCGCGGGACAAGCCGACTACACGGCAGTGGCCGGCAGTGGCATAGTGCAGGCCAGTACCGACTACCGGGGGAAGCCCCTGGTGTGCCCGTTGGTGTGCCCGCACTGGCGGTGGCGCGGGGCTCCGCGGGGTCGTCTCGAGTTGCCTAAGGCTGTAATGAGCACTCGCCTCGCGTGTCGACCGGCTTACCAGCCGCTGCCGTGTGGGCGGCTTGGCTGGCCTGTAGGCTGGCCTGTAGGCTGGCCGGGCCGCGACGACAGCCGGGACGGTTAGGGGGCAGCCCAGACTAGGCTGCGCTAGGCTGCGCTAGGCTGCGCTAGGCTGCGCTAGGCTGCGCTAGGCTGCGCTAGGCTGCGCTAGGCTGCGCTAGGCTGCGCTAGGCTGCGCTAGGCTGCGCTAGGCTGCGCTAGGCTGCGCTAGGCTGCGCTAGGCTGCGCTAGGCTGCGCTAGGCCTGGTGCGGCGCACGGCGGCGCGGCGGACGGCCGCGGCCCTAAGGCGGTTAGGGTTGTCCGAGGTCCGGGTCGGGCTGCCGGGCCCGCGGGCCGCCCGCCGCCGAACGGGGCTGCAAGGCTGTACTAGGCCGCTAGACTGTGCAGCACGCCGCGGTCCGCGGTCCCGCCCGCCCTGCTTGACTAGCCTTGCTCGACTAGCCTTGCTCGACCAGCCTTGCTTGACCAGCCCTGGCGAGGTGCTGCAGGAGTGATCGACGGCGGCATCGTGCAGCATAGCCTCACTGTAGCCGCGCCTTACTGCACGTCCTGGGCCTTCCGGACCCGCGGGCCGTAGCTTGGCCGTGCAGATACGTGTCCGTGTGTGCGCCTGGGTCTGTATGCGTGTGTGTGTGTTGGGGGGGGGGGCTGCATTTCGCTTCCGGTGTATGGGTGTGTGCAGAGCTGATCTACAATAATCAAAATAATTCTCGGTCCATGAAACTTTTACCACTGCGTTTTGTCAATTTTTGGACGCGAGTTCGCAGAAAAGTTGTCTATTGTGTTGTCTCGTGCCGTTTCCGCCCGAATGTGTCGTAATCTAATTTTTTTTTCTGTTCTGTTTGGCAGCGCCGGACAGTGGCGGCGGGCGGCGCTCGGAGCGCCATGCGCCCCTGTACGGCCGCCTGGTGGCCGAGGAGCAGATGGCGGGCGTCGGCGTGGGCGTCGGGGGCGTGGGCGGCGTCGGGGCGGCCGGCGCCACGCCCAGCGACATCCAGGCCATGCAGGCCCGCATCCCGCAGAACTTCCGGGACCCGTCGACGGCGCCGCTTCGGAAGCTGTCCGTGGACCTCATCAAGACGTACAAGCACATCAACGAGGTGGGTGCAAGTCGCGTGGCGTGTGGCGGTTCAAGAAGAGTGCTGACTTCAGTTGCAACTGGAAGAGGTGTCTGTCTGAATCGGTTTAGATGAACATCGGGGACGTGATGCATAACTTCATTTCTAAATTAGATTGCATTTAATGATCGTGGCGCTCACCGTAGTCGCTTTTAATTTCGATGTTTTGTTGTTGCTTTCTTCATTTTTTTCGTCGAGCCCGATCTTTCTGCCCTGCGGTCCGCTCTTTTTGGCGCGCGGGCCGTTGGCCATGCCGTTGGCGGCTGTTCGGCCGTCGGCGGCAAGGTTCGGACCCCCCACCTTATCTATTACGGGGGCAAGGGGGTGGCGGAGGCTGCAGAATGTAATCAAAAGTTTGCCCCGAGCGATTTATCTGGCAAGCTGGAGGGCGGGGCGGCGGGGGCAGTAGTTGCGGTCGTCGCCGCCGGCCGGGGGAAGGGGATCTATGTCGGCGAGCGGGCTACGTAAAAGTTGCCCGGGGTAGCAAGGCGGCAAGGCAGCAAGGGGTAGGCGGCCAGGGTGGGCCCGTGAGGGACGCGTCGGGACGCGGAGGCGCGACCGGGAGAAGAAGTGAGTTGCCGGCAGCATCCGGACATGAGCTGCGGCAGCTGCGGCGCCGAGGGCCAAGGCGGGCCAAGGCGGGCCAAGGCGGGCCAAGGCGGGCCAAGGCGGGCCAAGGCGGGCCAAGGCGGGCCAAGGCGGGCCAAGGCGGGCCAAGGCGGGCCAAGGCGGGCCAAGGCGGGCCAAGGCGGGCCAAGGCGGGCCAAGGCGGGCCAAGGCGGGCCAAGGCGGGCCAAGGCGGGCCAAGGCGGGCCAAGGCGGGCCAAGGCGGGCCGAGACAGGCCGGGCCTCGCGGGGCAACAGCTTGGAAAGCGCGGACGCACGCGGACGCCACCGACGACCAAGGACCACGCAGAAGCAAGCGAAGCAAGCGCAGAAGGGGCGCAACTAACTGGACGATGCGACGCGTCTCTTTCTCTCCCCTGTCGTCCTTTTCATTTTCGCTTTCCTTTTTCTTCCTTTTTCTCCTCCCGTTGCGATCGAATAATTCTGTCGGGAGAGGTTGCATCATCGCACGCTCACACACACGCAGTTGACGCAGACACACTTACGTGGAACACGCACACATGGACACACTGCGGCACACGTACGGAAGTGCAGAGTGCCGCTCGGCCGCTCGGCAGCCACTGCAGACTGATTCCGAGAGCCGTTCTCGTCGCTCTGTCTCTCTCGCACCCAGGGGTCGAGTGCGAGACGGACCGTCCTCTCCCGGTCGTGCGGCGACTTTGTAGCAGCAGACGCTGAATGGCCCTCCGGCGCTTATTACCCTTATTTGTTAGCCTTTTTAATTTTGTCTCCATTTTCGTTTCGTGTGTGTCGCGACACAAGGGAAGGAGGTAGGGTTGTTGTTTCCATATTTTTATTTTTTTGCGTTATTTTGGACCTCTTTCCTTTTTAATCATTATCTTTCTCCCCCTCATTTCCTGCGGACCTCTGGGCTGATGCTTTTCTCTCTCTCTCTCTCTCTCTCTCTCTCTCTCTCTCTCTCTCCTCTCTCTCTCCTCTCTCTCCTCTCTCTCTCTCTCTCTCCTCTCTCTCTCTCTCTCTCTCTCTCTCTCTCTCTCTCTCTCTCTCTCTCTCTCTCTCTCTCTCTCTCTCTCTCTCTCTCTCTCTCTCTCTCTCCTCGCCTCCTCTCTCTCTCTCTCCTCTTCTCTCTCTCTCTCTCTCCTCTCTCTCTCTCTCTCTCTCCTCTCCTCTCTCTCTCTCTCTCCCCCTCTCTCTCTCTCTCTCTCCTCTCTCTCTCTCTCTCTCTCTCTCCTCTCTCTCTCCTCTCTCTCTCTCCTCTTCTCTCCTCTCTCCATCTCTCCTCTCTCTCCCTCTCTCTCTCTCTCCTCCTCTCTCTCTCTCTCTCTCTCTCTCTCTCTCTCTCTCTCTCTCTCTCTCTCTCTCTCTCTCTTTTTCTCGCGACCATTGTGTTTGGAGGGCGTTTTCGCGTCGTCGTCGTCGGCCAGACAGTTTCCAACTGCAAGAACGCGGAGACTGTATTTGGGGCTTCAAAAGTGCCCACGCGATCTCCCTCTCCTCCCCTCTCCTTCCCCTCTTCCTTACGCGACTCTTTAATTTCTTGTGTTGCCCCGCCGTCGGTTAACGCTGGCGGCGCGTTTCGAATTTCCGCGCCGCGCACGCCCGGTTTAGTCGGCCCTCTTGTAAAATATTAAATAGAAGGTTTTGCGAGGTTCTGCCTCGGAAGGGGTAGCCCGGCCCGGCCTGCCCGGCCCGACCGCGGTCGTGATGGTTGTATTAGTGAGACTGACTACTTGTAATTACTTGCGTGAAATACGGCCCATAACTCTGCATGGCTCTTCACCCGCAGCAGACCATCATGCCGCCTTAGGCTTTTCTGGCCGTCAGTCCGCTGCACGCCGCGCGCTGCGCCCCCGAGCGGCGCCCCGCCCCGCCCCGCCCCGCCCCGCCCCGCCCCGCCCCCCCCCCCCCGCCCGCCCCGCCCCGCCCCGCCCCCTTTCCCACGCCGCCGCGGGGCGGAGCCATGTTTGTGCATCGCCGCCCTCTGCCGACGAGGGAGATGGATTGCACGGGCTCTAAATGCGCGTTAGAATGGCTGCTCACAACAAGGTGCTCTCTTTCTCTCCTCCCTCTCTCTTTCTCTGACACACGCAGTCAAGCACGCTCGTCCTGCACTCTCGCATGCACGCGCACGCGCCGGCAATGCAGTCGCCGAGGTGTCCCTGTCCGGTCCAAGCGGCTGCGGCCTGCCGCTCGGCCTGCCGCGTGCATACATGTGGGAGGGAAATAGACCGAGAGGAGAGAGAAAGAGAAAGAAAGAGGGGTGGATATTTTTTTTTTTATATCGGCGTGCCATTGTTTTGCATCCCAAGTGGCGCGGGCACGTTCCCTCCACGTTTTATCCTGGGAGGCAACTTTGTGGTGGCGGACTGCATGCGCGCGCCGAGGCGCCGAGGCGGAGGGGCCGGCAGAGCCCCTTTCCTTCCTTTCGCAAGGGCTGGAGCGGCTGGAGCGGCTGCAGCCAGAGCCCCGCGCTTGTCTCGTATATCCATATTCCTTTCCCTTTGGTTTAGGCACGTTGGAGCGGCGTTGCGCTGCCGCGGCTGCCGCCCTGTGCGAGTGCGTCATGCGTCTTGGCTGGCAGAGGAGCGCGGCTGCGGCCTGGCCTCGGCCGCCGCCTTTGCCACTGCTCCAGCAGCAGTGCTCCAGTGGCTCCAGTCTACGCCCCGTCCAGCTCCAGGCTGCTGCAAGGCGGGCACGGGGTGGGGGTGGGGGCTGAAAGCGCGATTAGTGGAGATCGGCCATGGGCCGCCATGGGCCGCCATGGGCCAGACACGTGACGTGTGTGTGGGATGGACGACCAGGAGGGGACGATGAGGAGGAGAAAAGAAAAGGTTGCAAGGCCTTTCCTCTCTTTTGTATCCCCTCTCCTTAGTTTCTTCCCTCGTTATTTGGGGGTTCATTTCTCTTTTAGAAAAGAGTGGTCGCAATAAGGGTTTGTTTTAATTGTGAAAGAGAGATTTTCTCACGTCGGGTCACCCCTTTTCTGTCCTTGTCCGCAGTCCCCGGCCATCCCCCTCACGACCAACCCCTGACCAACCCCTGACCAACCCCTGACCAACCCCTGACCAACCCCTGACCAACCCTCGGCCAACCCTCGGCCAACCCTCGGCCAACCCTCGGCCAACCCTCGACCAACCCTCGACCAACCCTCGACCAACCCTCGACCAACCCCCCGACCATCCCTCGACCAACCCCTGACCAACCCTCGACCATCCTCTGGGCATACACTGTCGGTGCTGCGTGCAATGCAGCCCCACCCTCCCGCCCCGTCTTCCTGTGTGGATGCGGACAAGGGCTGGAGCGTGCCCAGAATGGTCCAGTGCATGTAGTGGATGTGGACACAAGTCCTTTCTTTTCTCTCCAGTTTTTTGAATTTGGACTTTGGTTTTGTTTCAGGTGTACTATGCCAAAAAGAAGCGACGGGCGCAGCAAACCCAAGGTGAAGACTCATCACATAAGAAGGAAAGGAAACTTTACAACGATGGTTATGATGATGACAACCATGATTACATAATCAAGAACGGCGAAAAGTTCCTTGACCGGTATGAAATTGACTCTCTTATTGGAAAAGGTTCCTTTGGACAAGTAAGTTTCACATACACCAATGTTGTGTTTGTTTGTTCATTTTCTTCCTTTTACTGATCTGGATCATTACTTATCTTGCAGGTAGTGAAAGCCTTCGACCATGAGGAACAATGTCATGTTGCTATCAAAATAATTAAAAACAAGAAACCCTTCCTCAATCAAGCTCAGATTGAAGTGAAGCTCTTGGAGATGATGAACAAGGCTGATGTGGACAACAAATACTATATAGGTAATTCGTCATTTCAACTGCTCTCTGTCAATTATGTTTCTACATTTGACTGTTGCTCATGAATTTTGCTTTTCTCGTTTTCAGTGAGACTGAAGCGACATTTTATGTGGCGTAATCACCTGTGTCTAGTCTTTGAATTACTATCATACAATCTGTATGACCTTTTGCGGAATACAAATTTTCGTGGAGTGTCCTTAAACTTAACTCGAAAGTTTGCACAGCAACTCTGCACCGCATTATTATTTCTTTCCACCCCAGAGCTCAATATAATTCATTGTGACCTAAAACCAGAGAATATTTTATTGTGCAATCCTAAAAGGTCAGCAATTAAAATTGTGGACTTTGGAAGCTCTTGTCAGTTGGGTCAAAGAGTAAGTTTTAAGTTTCTTTTCAAGGAAGTTGAGATGGCCACTCTTTGTATTTGAAAGTTCGTTTGTCTAACTTGGTATTGCTTATTTCCAGATTTACCAGTACATTCAATCACGATTTTATCGGTCACCTGAAGTACTGTTAGGCATCTCGTATGACTTAGCTATTGACATGTGGAGCTTGGGATGCATCTTAGTTGAAATGCATACAGGAGAACCTTTATTTAGTGGTGCTAACGAGGTAAGCAACATTGGTGAGGGATAATCTGTTTTAATATTGCTTTATCTTACTTAAAAAATTTTGGTTATTTCATAGGTCGATCAAATGAACAAAATTGTGGAAGTTCTTGGTATGCCTCCTAAGCATCTTTTAGATGCTGCTCATAAAACAAGAAAATATTTCGACAAAGTTCCTGGAGATGGTTCGTATGTTCTAAGAAAAAGTAGGGATGGAAAGAAATATAGGTAAGTCTGCTAATTTAGAAACACTGTTATGTGTTGCACTCCAGAAGAACATCTTCTTACTAGGCAATTTTCATTGTGATTTCAGATTACCTGGCACCCGAAGGTTACATGATTTACTTGGGGTGGATAGCTGGGGTCCAGGTGGTCGCCGTTTAGGGGAACCTGGTCACTCTGTATCAGATTATCTTAAATTTAAAGACCTTATTATACGAATGTTAGACTATGATCCCAAAACAAGAGTGACTCCCTACTATGCACTTCAGCACAACTTTTTCAAACGCACTGCAGATGAATCCACAAATACCAATACAGGTCAGTGACTATCCACTATCTTTCATACTCCAAAAATTCTTAAATATGTTTTTATTAAATTTATTTACTGCCCTGCATCATAGGTGGTCCCAGTGGAAGTGCGAGTACGAGTCCAGCTGTGGTCTCACACTCATCACATTCATCGCATCAAAGCCACTCAACTCTAACATCTTCACACCCTGAACCAATGGTGGGATCTAGTCCATCAACGTCCACAACGGGTTCTAATGTGCAACAACAAGGTACTTTTTAGAGCAACCTGATTTTCATTTAATGGCTTTGCAAAGTCTTGATAACAGCACCTAGGAGCTGAATGTACAATTTACAAAACTATTTCATCATTCTGAATTTGGCAATCTATTAACCCTGAATTTTCTTGGGGAGTTCAGTTGAGCTGAACAATTTTATCTCTGAGACTGTTTGTATAGGTCATAGAAAGGGTTTACTGGTAGAAGTGGTTTAGATTTCAAAGTGCAAGCCTTTTGTGGGCCTGAGTTAAGTGATATGCAATTTATGTCATGAATTGCTTGTATCGCAGCAGAGCTTAACCAGCCTTTTTCTCCAATTTCTTCGTGCTTCAGCTGCTGCTTTCTCACATTCTTCACTAACTTATAAATATATTCCTTTTAACATATTTCTAGTCAAAATTAATTCAATTTTACTTGCTTTTAAATTGGATATTGGGATTGCTGCTTGCCTCAATTTATTTTATTTTTGCTTAAAACAAATTAAGAAAATGTACCAATCCAAGATTTTCTGATTGGGTTTACATTTTTCTGTGTGGGGTAGGGACATTATCTCTTATTTCACTCGTCTCCTTATCCTAACCTAAGCAAAATCAAACCACATTATAGTTAACGGTTTTTCTCACCCTTTTAGTGCAGGGATGTAAAAGCTTCATAATGTTCTTTATTTAAAGAAATAACTTGTAATTTCAGAAAGTTTTTGAAGAATATTTTTTGTCTGTCATTTAATTGGCATTACTTGTTCATATGCAGCTGAACTGTGGACTCGATGACAGTGAATTAGCCTGGGAGGAGGGAGCCACTCCTAGACATTAGCAGTAAGTGGCTATTATGCAGCAAAGACAATGCATTTTACTGTAGCTCCCTTTTTCATATTTTTACAGTTTTCTTATTTATCATGCTTGCGAATTTTTTCCTTGCATGACCCATGACATTGCATGCATTTAAGAAAATTCCTTTCCCATTTTTTCATGCCTGGATGATTAGTACATTTTTGGAATTCGTTGGATGTGTTTTTTTTTCTAAAGCTTTGGGCGAATCCAGGTCAACCTGAACGGGGTTTGACCCCGACCCCCTCAGAACTTGCTCCAAACAGTCTTAATTCATTGGTCTATACCTAAAATCACCCCCAAAAAAATTTGGTTGAAAAATATTAACATTTGGCTGAGCTGTGGCACTTTTTGTTTTTTGGTCAATTTTAGTGAAATTAGTACAATGAAAATTTGAAAAAACAATTTTTTTCTCGAAATGGGGATTTTTGAGGCCTGATTTGTTTGATATGAGTTGTCTTATGATAGACCAATGCAATTCCGGTCATAGACCCCACCTCACTCAATTTGCACTGGAGGCTGAAGAATTTCTAGTAATTTTACCTAAAAATCGAAATATTAAACCTTGCCCCACCTTTCAAAATTCATTTCTATGCATGAAAATCTACCTTAGGGCCCTGGCAATAACATATAAAAAATCTGGGATGGAGTTTTTTATTTTAAGGAAATCGTTCCAGAAAGCGCTACTTTTGACTTGTCGATTTAGCTAAAACGCATGAAATTTCACCAAATGTAAAGGACGATGAGGTCAATCTTGCTATTTTAGTCTCTTTATGCAGTATCAGAGGCAAATAGAGTTTGAGGGGAGTAAAAAAGAACATAAATACATTTTGCAAATGTACTACAAACACCAACTTTTGACAGCTTCTTAATAGGAAGTCCAAGAAAATATAATACGTAATAATCAAGTGGATCTGGCGGAATTGTTAATCGATTTTCACCTTTTACTTCTGCTGTCTGTCTCATTTTTGTCCCCTTCTGTCCTGTCTTTTCTGTCTGGAGGGAATGCCAATTCTTATTGTTGAGCCTCCAACTCAGTTTGGTGATGGAACCCAAACGGCCAACTCGACTTGAGACGGAACCCACCATAGAGAGTAATTCCAGCCCATGGTGGAACGAAATCCGGGTTTGGGTCACGGAATCGGTTCAAGATTTGTTGGGTCAATAGGTATCAGTAGGACATATCAACCCTAGGTGCAAAGTGGGCTAGCTCAACGGTCACTTGAGATATCTACGTTTTGCTATATTTGACTAATTTAACGGGAAAATGACGCTTTCTGATTTTTGGATGGTTAAAGTTGTTTCTACAGTTCTGGCCAGTCATAATTTTACCTAAATGAAGGTTAGGCAGAAAAAAGAAACACAAGCTAGAACTGAAAAAAACAACTTTGTTATCAAAAATTCTGAGAGCGACATTTTTCCGCTTACTTTGTTACATTTAGAAAAATGTTGACATTTCAAGTGTTGTTGGAGCTAGGCAACTTTCCTCCTAGGGTTGATATGTCCTACTGGTATCAATTGAACCCACAAAGCTTGAACCGATTCCATGACCCAAGCCCGGATTTCGTTCCACCATGGGCTGGAATTACTCTCTATGGTGGGTTCCGTCTCAAGTCGAGTTGGCCGTTTGGGTTCCATCACCAAACTGAGTTGGAGGCTCAACAATAAGAATTGGCATTCCCTCCAGACAGAAAAGACAGGACAGAAGGGGACAAAAATGAGACAGACAGCAGAAGTAAAAGGTGAAAATCGATTAACAATTCCGCCAGATCCACTTGATTATTACGTATTATATTTTCTTGGACTTCCTATTAAGAAGCTGTCAAAAGTTGGTGTTTGTAGTACATTTGCAAAATGTATTTATGTTCTTTTTTACTCCCCTCAAACTCTATTTGCCTCTGATACTGCATAAAGAGACTAAAATAGCAAGATTGACCTCATCGTCCTTTACATTTGGTGAAATTTCATGCGTTTTAGCTAAATCGACAAGTCAAAAGTAGCGCTTTCTGGAACGATTTCCTTAAAATAAAAAACTCCATCCCAGATTTTTTATATGTTATTGCCAGGGCCCTAAGGTAGATTTTCATGCATAGAAATGAATTTTGAAAGGTGGGGCAAGGTTTAATATTTCGATTTTTAGGTAAAATTACTAGAAATTCTTCAGCCTCCAGTGCAAATTGAGTGAGGTGGGGTCTATGACCGGAATTGCATTGGTCTATCATAAGACAACTCATATCAAACAAATCAGGCCTCAAAAATCCCCATTTCGAGAAAAAATTGTTTTTTCAAATTTTCATTGTACTAATTTCACTAAAATTGACCAAAAAACAAAAAGTGCCACAGCTCAGCCAAATGTTAATATTTTTCAACCAAATTTTTTTGGGGGTGATTTTAGGTATAGACCAATGAATTAAGACTGTTTGGAGCAAGTTCTGAGGGGGTCGGGGTCAAACCCCGTTCAAGTTGACCTGGATTCGCCCTTTGTGGAAAATGTTGAGTTTGCTGTTTGCTGCTAGCATAGTTTTCTAAGTAACTAGAATTTGCACAGAATCGGCTACTCTGTCTGACTGAGGGAATGGTGTTAAAAATGTTGACTGTATCCTTCTAGTCAATGGCATTTTCTTTCAGAATTTTGGTTTGTAGTGCTTCCCTTCCCTTACCTAAAATGTATGCCCGTTGTATTTTGTCCTCCTTTCCCACCCTTCATTTCTTTTGAAAAAAAGTAATTCAGTCCTTTTTTTTTTTTTTAAATTTAACTGACCACATATACCATATCATCTGTCATTTTAAGGTATTGGGTATGGTTAGTTGACTTTGTAGCTGCCCCTGTCTTGGTAGATTTTTTAAAGTTTTTGACTGTAATTTATTGTGATTGCTGGCTGAGAATAAATACTAATGGAGTAGAGGATTCAAATTTGCTTTGTTTGTGATTTCAGGTGCAGGTGTGGCTGCAGGGACACGAGACTGGGTTGACCCTGCTTACATGGGGTCGTACCTGTCGCACTCATCGCTTGCAGCCCATCCATCTCAAGCCAATGCTATGGAGTGTGAACCGTCTTACCCCAGACATCAGGCACACCACATGGGGCTGAGTAGGCTTGCGCCCACTGGGCGTTACGCACCCCAGTCCCTGCCCATGGAGCAGCTACCAGGCTTAGACTGTACGCAGACTGGTAGTTTGAACATCCCCCTCGTCGGCTCTGGCAGCTCTGCCCTCGCCACTCAGAGCGGCAACTACTTCAACCCTGGGTACCCAGCCTCGCTGCAAAACCCAGTTGCCGTCGCCCCCGTCGCCTACGGGTTCGTTCCAAGTCAGGCCGGAATGACAAAGGCGGACTTGAATGTGGGTGCTCCAAAACTAGGGAAGCAAAGCTCCAACCAGGCTCAAAGTGGCAGTGACCGTGAAGATAGCCCTATGGTAGGGGTGTGTGTTCAACAAAGCCCTGTTGTTAGCCATTAATATTTGCTCCACTTTTAGGAACTTGTCTTTTTAATGATGTTTTAGATTTAAGTGTAGGCTCAATTGAGCTGCCTGTTTTCTTATGTCGATTGTAAAGTGTACATATATATACATATATATGCATATATATATATATGAATGTTTTGACCGAGTGGCTCTTGTCTTTGCGCCATTTGTTTGCATATTGTTGACAAATGGGCCATTTACTTAGTGAGAATGTTGTTGTCATTATTGTTCATGAAACATCATGAAATTCCATCATCATTTATGACACATAGTTAATTTGACTAGCAGTGCTCATTTGAAGATCCTGTCAGGATCTTTTAGTACACTCGTGGAATCTGCAAAAACCCTGTGCTGTAGCGCTGCAAGTTTTTGTGTGACAACACTCTTGTGATAGAAAGTTTCTTATTGTGTAACTATGTGAAAAGGAACTCATGTCGTTTTGATATGAATTATTTTTACTAAGTTTAGAAAATGGGAGTATGAAACTCTGTGTGAAGTCTGGGTGGATGTGAGTCTGCTTTGGATTGGAGCTTTTGTTCCTGCTCTCATCCCATTTCCCCCTCCATTCAAACTCATTAACTGTACTGAAATGGAGGGTTCTTCAATCTTTACTTTTTTAGAGCAATTTGAAAATAGGTCACTTGTTAAGGAAATGAGTTCACTCACTAATGTTTACTTTTGGATAAAACTCTGTTGATATCCTTAGGTAAACTTGTATCCATTTTTAGGCACCTCACAATGGGAGAGTGCTGTTTTCATATATCCTTGCTCAGCCTAATTTTATGTTTGGATCAATCTAAAGTGTTCATTTTTCATTCATTGTTTTTACTGGTATCAAGTCTGTAATAGGTTTCATTGACGCTTGTACTCATTTGTGGTCCTTTGATGTAGGGCATTGTAAGGCAACTTTTTAAAGGACCAAAACATCATACCTTTGTAGCCTCTGGCAATAACTTGGAGGAGAGAGAAGGTATTCAGTCTGCTATGATTCTTAGCTATATTTTACTTATTTCTTTTAATACCCAACATCTTACAGAGATTTTGAAACAATGTGCTCTTGTTCTCTCTCTATTATACCTATATTTTTATGTTGCAATTGGGCCTTAGAGTACTAGTACTAGTATCAACAGCAATTACTTAGATCTTGTAGTAAGAAACTTCATCAGTTTTCTTCAATTCCCTTTTTGAAAGTTAAGATTTATAATGGTAATCTCTATAACATGAAAGTATACATAGCTAGCAAAAAGCAAAGCGAAGAAGAGTTATAAAAATCACATGACTTATGAGGTGGCCCTATTTTAGAATTAGTTATTCTATTTTTTAATCAATGCACAAAATGTGATAGAATTCGGAGAGTTTTTAAGCCCTTTGTTTTATTATTTCTATTTTGAGTTGTGCTTACTTTTGTTGCCCCTCAGATTTTGTGTGTGTTTTAGTAGAAAACTCAGGCTCTTTTCCATCTACTCATGATGATCCATGTCTGATACACCTTGCCCCTACTCAATTTCCCCTCTCTCTCTGTCCAAATATTTAACCCAGGCTACCAGTACTACCTTTATTTTCTCTTTATTTATTTATTTATGAAAGGGCTGCAAATGTGTTTTACTTGTGTTTCCCTATGAAGTGATGTTAATAATTGTAGTTGTTATATAGCCTCAGAAGTGTTATTTTAATCAAATGAAATTACATAGCTTCCTCCCATTCCGTTACAATTTCCTACATGCCACAAAGTCCACAGCTCATGTTGTCATTTTTATTTTGTTTTTTTCCTTTTTTTAAAACTCATTTTCATTGTTTTGTTTTTCTTTTTATTCAGTGAAATACAATAAAAGTTATGAAATTGTTTAAAGCTCAATTAATCAGGTTTCACTTGTGTTTTAATTTATTTTAAATTTCCTTAATCAAGGAGTGAAGTGGTAGGCAATCAATATTATAGTATTGTTTATAACATGTTCTTGAGAATACAATAATTCATATGAATTAATGAGCTGATGAATCATGCATTTGTAAGGTGATCCCACGGGCGACGGACGATTCCGAAGTCTGTAGTCCCGCAGTCAAAGCACCACCCGGGACTGCCTTGCCAGTGCAGTTGCACTGCAGGCTGGATGCCGCTCTGCATGTGGGGGCCCCACAGTGGGGCTGCGCACTACGCACTACCGATAGGAAAGGATTGTCTCGTCTGTCAAAGAGATCGGCTGACGCGTTGGACAATCACATGCGTCGAGTATTGACTGGGTCTCAAGTCGTTCTTTCTCCCACTTAGTTGACAGGCGTCCGTCTGCCGCCCGTGTGTAAAGAATAAAACAGTTTGTGCAGATAACGAATTTTGGGACACATTTCTTTTATGTTTGTGCTTTGCCTGACAGAAGTTTTGTGTATTTAGCTTGGTTGAATTTGTTTTTGTTTGCTAATTGCCAAAAGTAATGATGGATAATACTTTGCAGTTTTGCCACTTAATGCCAGTTACTTCCCTCTTTCCTGAGGACTCCATTATTCCGATTATGGAGCTGAATAATCATTTTCCTAAGAAGCAGTATTGGTTAAATTTTCGGCATACTTTGATGTGGCATGAAATTTTTGACAAGGCTCTCTACTTTATCTTTCCCAGTTTTGAAAGAAGCTGGTTTTTAGCTGCAGCTTGCACTTTTGTCTGGGCTGGAAACACCTTCATAAATTAATGTGTTCTGACAAGCTTTACAAAACCTTGCATTGTTTCATTGTTTTGATTTTTATTATTATTATTAGCTTCAAGCTGTATGTACTTCAATGAGTCCTTGGGCAATGATTTAGGTGACAATTTGTTATTGTTCGACTGATCTCCTCAGGGCAAATTTTTCTGAAGGCCTTCTATGGCCACAAGGCCATTTATTGAATTTTTCCTGCCTGTACTGTACCAATGAGACTTTTTCAAGTATGTACTCTGAGGAGTGATAGTAATGATTATGGATGCAAAAATGAATTTGCTGTTACCAATGAATCAACTAAGTGTTGCTGTAGTAACAATTAGACGCTAGAAGCATCAAGTGGCAAAGTGCTTTCCACACATTTAGCTTAAAACTGACTGGTCTGTTACAGCTGCCCCATTCCTGTGCCCTCTAGTTACTTTGTGGTATGGATTCTTTTTTTTTTTTCTATATTTGTTGTTTTGTTTGTTTGTTCAAAGCAGTTGCAAGAGTTCCATTTTAACAACTTTTCTTTTAATATTTGTAAATGTCAATCAATGTGTTCCAGCAGCATTTTTTTTCCCTAATAGTTTTTGGAAGTTTTACCTAATACCTCTCATTTTATTGTGTGATCCATTGTGCTATTTCACAATAAGTCCACTTGTTCCAGAGTAAGTTTTCATTAATTATTTTTCCAAGAGTATGGTTATGTTTTTCCTTTTGAGAACAAGTTCATTTTCTACAATCTCAGACCATTCATTGTCCTAATTGACTTCTTATTTGAATAATCCATATCTTACTATCTCTTCATCACTGGTTTAATTCATACACCAGTATTTGTCTACTTATCATTTATGTAAGGATTGCCTCAAACTTCATATTAGTAACTTGTGTGATACAATTAACAATTTTGGAATGGTCCTTGTGTGTTGGGTACCCGCAGCTCTAAACCAACTTCCTCGTAGCATTACTATAATAGAATCTCGCTAGTTCAGGACAAGTTGGTTGTCATATGTATCAATTAAAATTAATGAGGAGTTATGTGTGGAGGAGAGAAAGAAAAGTTGTTCCACATTAAAGGATGACAAATTTATGTAAATTACAGCTTGGAGTTTGATTCTGCATTAATATGTAAGAAATAAAATCATATTGTTCATTGTCTTTTCTGAGGATTGAATGTTAAATTACTTGGTCAAATGTGTGTGTTTTGAGTGACTTGATGTTGGGAGCGACAGTGGAACTCACTTTACCGGTCACAATATTGTTAGAAGGGATGCTCACGCATAGCTCCTGCATACGGCGGTGCAATGTTGTGCAAGTTAGCTGTAACAATGTACTGTATGTGAGTTCCTCTGTATTATCATGCTTCTGAAAACTATTCTCCCAGGAGGTGCCATTCAAAACAGATGTAAACTGGACAGTGGGCAATGGTGCACTTTTACATACAACTCCAAAGAGCATGAAGATGTGTCCATATTAATGATAATTGGCTGAATGCAGAGTGACTTTAATTTGTATTTGTTATGGCTACTGATAGTACATAGTACATTCTTGTTCCACATTGAATGAAATTTATTCCAGACCATTGATTCATTACATATATATGCATGGGCCATTGTTACATGTCTTAGTTGAGCTAGCTGTTAAGTAACTACAAACAGAAACTGCCATAGTTGAAATATGATGTGAAACAAGGCAAAGCCAGTAAAATGTGATAAAGATGTGAGAGTCAGATTTAGTGTGAAAATAAAACAAAACACTTGTGCATATTTGTGGATTATTATAAAATTGAATTCCCATATTGTTTTTTGTACTTTTTTTTTGTTGTCTTTGTAAGCACAGATTGGCCATAGAGTGACTCTCTGCTGCAGCTGCAAAAAAAAAAAAAAAAAAATCAACCAAAAAAAGAAAAAACAAACCTTAAGCGGCATTAGAACAACTTCCAAGTTGTATTGTTTCGTTTTTATTTCTATTGTATTATGTATATCAATGTGGAGTGCAACTTTGTGATCTATACGCCTCAAATTCTTTACTCTAAGAAACTAAATGATTGTTACAAACTCATACATGTAGATTCGCAGTATTGTTAATAAAGTTATAAAAAATCACTGTGTATACCATAATCAGATTGTTTAGTTTTAAATTTAACTGTAAATTCTTTGTAAATAATAATATAGAAAATTGTTATCACCGTTCATTATGTGAGTTATCTTTTCGCGCCCTATCGCTCTTCTCCGACCACCCTTATCAACGAGGGCCTTCCGTGGCACTATTATTAGCAGGGCTGGCCGCCGGCCCCCATCTAACTAGCAAACAGTCAACACACAACAGATGCACATTTTCCGGGCTTGGCGGTGCACTGGGGGGGAGGCGCACAGTATGCGACGCCACGCGGACTGCAACGAACAATAGCACGGGTGCAGTGCACTGCAAGTGCAGTGCAGGTGCAGTGAGGCGTCGAGGCCAGAGGCCAGCGCGCGGCGCGACGTCTCTAGACGTGCCGCGCGGCATGCGCGTTGCGGATGGTCCAGTCCGCCAGTGTGGGGCCGAGGCTGGCCGGCCTGCCCGGGGGTGGCCCCGGTGTTGGTCCTGGCTCTGGGGGTGGTGCTCGGTGCCGTCGGCTCGGCTCGCCGCGTACGGGCGCCGCGTCACGTAGGCCATGGACTGCCAGGGACCAGGACGCCCTCATCCGGCTGGCCTCAGTTCGCAGTCAGGCAGCCAGCCGTTCAATGTTCCACAGCCCGTCCCGCGCCCCGCTGGGGAAGTACCCGACCCGGATCACTTTCCACCCCGGCTCTGTACTCGAGTCCAAACGAGGCGCTCAGGGACTCGGATGGGACAGCCCGGGTGCTTGACGGCCAGGCCCGAGCACCCCATGCACTCGTTGGCGGGCTGGGGCTGGCTGCTGGCTCGACGCGCCAGGCCGCTGCAGCGGGGTGTCAGCGTGTCAGCCAGCGAACCGTTTGGGCCAGGGGCGCCGCGGCGGTGGCCTGCCGGGACAAGCGACAAAATCAACTCGCAGCCCAGCCGCTCGCTGGTCACTGTCTCAGTCTCTCAGTGGCTGGCAAACGGCCCGAGACGGACGGGACGGGACGGGACGGGACGGGGCGGAAAAACAAAGAACAAAAGCCGGGCTGGACGCCGGCCAAGCAGCATCACATCACCGTGACAGGGGGAGGGGGTGTTGTAACCGCGGCGGGCCGGGCCGGGCCGGGGCGGGGCGGGCTGCTCGAGGGTCTGCGCGCCTTGCGCTTGCCCAAAACCGGCGCCGCCGCCACACCACACCAACCCCGAATAACTCTTCGTCCTTCTCCGATGTACGCCGCGAAAGGCTTCCTGACCTTTAGTGTGTCGAGGACGGCGGGACTGCAGGACGATTCCGAACTGCGGCGCTTTCTCTCTCGCACTCGTGGGGAACGCCCTATCAGAGAGACAGGGACTGGGGTACCGCTCCCAGCAAATCTACCCAGCGCACCCACGCCTCGGGGCGATCGGGGCCACAGTGTGGGCCACACGCCCTCGTCTTCCCGCGTCCCAAGCGTGGGGATGGGGATCGATCACGGGTCGGTTCAGGCGGTTGATGCGCGCGGTCCTTGAACACGCACTCACTCTCTCACTCACTCACACCCCCGACGATCTCTCCCCCCGGGGCCTCTCTCTCCTGCCCGACTCTCCCGCTGTGCACACACTGAATGCGACAACAAAGTCGGCAGCTTCATCAGCCCGCCGCCCCGCCGCTTGGTGACGTCATCGTGACGCGGGGGTGCGTCGCGGCCACGGATGCGCGGGATTGGCGCGGCCAAAGCGTTTGGCGCCGACTTACAAACTTTGTTGCTTTTCAGTTCTTGCGTCAGCGCGCGTGATGGGTTTACAAAATCATTCGACTCGCGGCGCTCGGCGAGGTGGGCGTATCCTGCGCCGGGGAAATATGGAGACGAGGCGACCTGCAGAGAAGAAGAAGAAGGTCATGGTTCGCCTGGCTGCGCCTTGGGCCTTCGGAGCGGCCGGGCCGGGCCGGGCTGAAACTGAAAGCCCCACCCCGATGAGACGGGCGAAACTGTCAGGTCGTGCTGCGCTGAAAGGCTGCGGAGATGAACGGTGAGCAGACTCAGTGAATTATGGCCCACGGGCCGCGAGGGGGGGGGGGGGGCCGCGAGCCGGCGTTGTTATGTCAGATGACCACGAAGACCGAAGCCCGGCTGGCGCAGGCTGGGGGCATTGACGCACCGCCGCGGTCCGCCCTGTCGGCCCTGTTACGTCAGGGTGCACGCCAGTCGAGGGCCGCCCGAAGGCCGTCCGAAGGGAAAAGGCCCAGTGGCCTAGCCGTTGTCCCGCCGGCAGAACAAGGTGGCCCTTCAGGTGAATAGCCGCCCGCCCCCAGCAGCACCGCCAAAGAAGGACAGCCCGCTCCCTGCCCCGGCCTCTTGGACAGATATCAGCGGGGCCTTGCAGTGTCTGACGTCAGTGCCGCAGTACCGCGGGGCCTGCCGGGCCGGGCCGCTCGCGTACCCGTCGTAGTTCATTCTTCTTGGTGGGCGCCGGCGGGGGGTGTGGTGGGGCGTGGCGGGGCGTGGCGGGGCGTGGCGGGGCGTGGCGGGGCGTGGCGGGGCGTGGCGGGGCGTGGCGGGGCGTGGCGGGGCGTGGCGGGGCGTGGCGCGGCCTCCTGGGGGTCGCAGGCCGTGGAGCCGGCTGGCGCGGGGGTGGATGGGCCACCGAGGGGGCGTGGCGTGGGCGGCGCCAGGAAGGATCACGGTTGGGGACTGAAATTACCGGCCTTCAACTTGCACTGCAGCGGCTCGGCCAGGCCGGCCGGCGTCCTCCCCGTCGGCACGGCCACCGCGGCGGGGGATGCAGCGCCGGAACTGCAGCGCGACGGCGGCCGACGGCGTGGTGAGGTCCGCCATCCACCCCGCCCCGCCGCCACGGCCGCGCCGCGACCCGGCCACTATGCGTTGCTCAAGTCGCCCCGAAATAGCCGCGGCGGGGCGCGCGTTATTTTCGAAGCCGGACGCGAAACGGTTTGGCTTCGTTGTCCCGTTTTTAGCGCGGCATGCGGGAATGGAATGGAGTGGTGAACGGCGGGGATCGTGACCTGCACGCGCTGCGCGCCACGCGCCGCCGCCCGCTGGTCGTTGTTATCGGGGGCGTCGTCGTCGTCGTGCTCCCTCTAAGTTCTTCCCCGCCGCAGTGCGCTCTCTGTTCCTCCGGCGTGTTTACCGACGGCGTCCTGGCGACTAAATCTGCTGCGGCTAAAATTGGCCCGCCGGCTGGCGCGCTGGCGCGGTTCTGGCCGGCTGGCGGGAGCCGGCTGGCGCCATGTGCACACGCTGGCCGCCGCCATGCCGCCGGCACGCCGCCGAGGGCCGCGCCAATTAAGAAGGGGCGGGACCGCGACGACCGCGGCCGCGACGGCGACATCGCATCACGACTAAGCGGCCGACGGCGGCCACCGTCCCGGCGTTCTCCGTGTGCGTGTGGCCCCACCAATGGATTGCTCTACGAACGAGGAGTCCATTGGTGAGGTCACACGTTCGGTTCGAGTCCCATTTAGCGACTCTGGAGCTCAAAACGCGTCTAGAGTTTCGGCCTCCTCCACCGGTCTTCTGGCCCAGTGCGCGGCGCGGCGGTCCAGAGCGCCTGCAATCCGGCGGCAGGCAACCCGGCCGGCAGCCGCGCGGGGAGGAGGGTGCTTTGCCTACGCTGCCGGCGCTCGCGCTCACTCGCCCGCGCCGGGCGCTGGGCGACACGGCAGGGCGCGGCGGGGTGGCATGTTCGACGGGCTGCTATCGGCGGACAGCCAGCTCAATCACCACTGTCACCACTCACTGTATTTTTTTAACGGGAAGTGTCACGAGCGTCGTGAATGATGTCGCTCGAACGAGCGCGAGGCGGCGCCATGCGGCTCTGTGTCTTCCTGGTCATCGAGATCGAGTGCACCTGTCCAATCAGGCTGCGGATCACCTGTTGAACACCCGGGGAAAAAACCGGAGTGGGGCATTGACCCAGTTTCGTCGCCTCGCCACTGTGAGTGAGGTGAGTGGCGGTTTCCGTCGGGCCCCGCCGCACCCGCCGTCAATTTGCCAGGCAATGACAATGTTTACAGCCATGTTTCTTCGCCCCTGACCACTGCGGCCACACGCTCCGCAAACGCCTTTACGCTTCTATAGCGCAGAGGATAGCGCGTCGGACTTCGATTCCGAAGGTCGCGGGTTCGATCCCCGCCAGAAGTGCGTTGTATTTTCTTATTTCGGCAATTTCGGCAGCCAGCGTTATCCGCGTCAGGGGCGGTAATCGAATCGCGTTTCCGGCCGAACGCCCGGAGCGGAGCGGACAGCGTTTCCGGCGATACGCGCCGCGTTTTGAGTGACGCGTCCTGTCATGCGAGACGAGGGGTGCGACGGCGCACAGTGGGCCAGAAGACCAGTGGAGGCGGCCAAAACTCGAGACGCGTTTTGAGCTCCAGAGTCGCTGAAAAGGACTCGAACCGAACGTGTGACCCCACCAATGGATTCCTCGTTCAAAGAGCAATCCATTGATGGGGTCACACGTTCGGTTCGAGTCCCTTTTAGCGACTCTGGGCGTCTGGAGTTTTGGCCACCTCCACCGGTCTTCTGGCCCACTGTGCGGCGTGGCGGCGCGGCAGGGGAGGGTGTGGCGCAGCGGCCGCCCGAAAGAAACTGTTGGCTTTTTGGGGGCGCGGTCCAGCCGGTCCGGCCGGTCCACGAGACCACCCACACTCCCACACTATCGCCCAGCGGCGGTTATCAGCGAGCCGAAGGTGTGCCCTCCCTCCAGACCACTGGCCGCCACCGGCCGAAGCGTGTCGGCGTCGGCGAGGCCACAGCGAGTGCGACAGAGACAGACACAGCGCGACCCTGCCCCCAAACAGTGCCCCGCGGGGCCCGCAACACAAACAGACTGGCTGGTATTCGAACCAGGGTTATATAACTTCCTCAAAGTTATTGTTAGTCTTTGTCGTGTACTCCTGTCTCGGCGCTTTTTTTAAGGCAGTCTGTCTAGAGACCTACTTTTACAAGTTCGGTAAAGTGTTTTACGCGGAGTTTCACATTTACTTGGCAGCACGTCCATTAGATATTCGGGCAAAATGAGTCTCCAAGGCTGCGAGGCTGTCCGGGGCTCGTCAGCGCGACAACGCGCCGCGCCGCGCCGGGGCCAGTCCCGAGATGAAGGCGAGGCATGCTGCATCAAAGGAGCCTGAGGCAAGCTTGACGGTGTCGCGCGCGGACTAATTTACCGCCCCACCCCCAACCACTTAAAAGTAAAAGAGGAAAACGGCGGGAAAAGAAAGAACGGTTGGCGCAACTTGTTGCAGCATTGACTGGCGGACGGTGGCGGTGAAGTTGAATCCGGTCCGGGTTGCCTTTCCTCTCTCGCCGAGGTTCTCGTCGAGGTTCTCGTCGATGGGCATGTGCCAGTTACGCGGCCGTCCATGACCGCCGGCCGCGCAGCAAGCGGCGCTCTGCGAAAGACACAACGCACAATGGGTATTAAAAGTAGTAAAAAGCGGGACGAGAACACGACTGTCGGAAAAACAAAGTACATCCCATCGGCCGAGCGGGGCGAGGACGAAGACAGTGATGACAGCGGAGGAAGAAGACGATCGCCCGTGACGGAACACGACCATCACGAGGAAATCGGCGCGGCATTGGCAAATGGTCCCATCCGCGAATTCCGACTGGCCCGGCCGAGGTGCCCCCCCCCCTTCTTTTCTGAGTCAGCACACCAGCAGACAGCATCCCGCCTCCCCCTCCCCCCGCCGTCCCGGCTGCTTGACGTGCATTGCGATACATTGATCGTTTGACGCTACGAGCCGCACCCCGTACACTGGTACACTGCACGGCGACGCTCTCGCTGCCTCGGCGAGAGGAACAACAAAGTGACAGGAAACTGCGCGGGGAAACGACGCCCTTTTCACTTCGCGCGACTGTACGCGACGAAGACGCGCCCAAATCTAGTGTAGTACCAATTCCGGAGGTTTCGGCAGCGCGGCAGAGCAGTTTAGTCCGGTCTGGACTGGGATTGGGACGGTGGGACCGAGGTTGGGACCGAGGTTGGGACAGCCCGAGTGCCAAATTGATGGCTTCCTCTGCGACGCCGGCCCGGGAGTGCCGACCGAGAGCTCGCCTTGCAAATCGGCGCCTTCCTCTAGCCGAAACTGGCGCGATTCTGTTTCGGCCGAGCGAGGGAAAAAACAAAACAACGAAAACAAAAGTGTCGGATTTATGTGTCAAGGAGTGAAAGGGCGAGGGGGCGAGCTGGGCTGCTGTGCCGGGGGAGCCATCTACAAAATTGCAGCGACCTTGGACTTCCTAACAGGCGGCCTGGCGCTGACGTGGACGACTACTTGCAGTCCAAAAGGGAGAAGGGAGAGGGGAGGGGGAGGGGGAGAGTTCTCCGCGAACCTGCGATGCGAACCAGTGGATGGCCTTGGCAATGCGTCTCCCCCCCGGTCTTCCCGCCACGCCCGGCCTCAGGACGATGTTTTGGCCCGGTGGGATCTGTCAAAAAACAGCAAGAGCAACATCATCAACAACAACAACCACAACAACATCACGCTGCACTCAGATGCAGCGAAAAGAAACGAACAGAGAGGAGAGGGGAGGGGAGGGGGAGGGGGGGCCTCGGACCGGGAAATGATTTTGCCAAAAGCGCGCGGAGACGTCGATCCGAACGCACGCACACAGCGAAAATTTTGGTAGTCATTTGATGACAATTCCAAGGCGAATTTTCCTTGCAAGGATGTCATCAAAACATTTCGTGACATAATTGTCACGCCCACGCAGCAAGTATAGGAGCTTTGCAAGTGGTGACAATATCATCGACAATAAAATTTTATCATAAAGTGACAACAAATTTTAACAGTGCACACACGCACGTACACAAGCGCACGCAACGCACACACGTACATCGTAGCGTGCACAATCGAAGCGCCAGCCGCCACTTGTCTATTTTCGTGTAACGATTGAGGCAAAGGCCAGCTCGCATGACATTTGAATTGGATTGAGACAGCCCTGTGTGAGTTAGTGTCTGTCTGTGTGAGTGTGCGGTGTGCGAGCCAAGCTGACGGTATTGACGAGGTGAACGGCACGGCCCCAGCACGTGGTCTGCACGTTGCATAGAGGTTTGCTAGTGTCCATCCCTTCCAATTTCATCGTCGATTCTGCTCGCTTCATCGGATCTCATTCTTCAACGCGTCAAATTATCCCAATTTCAATGCGACCTGGTGTTGCCTGAAAGTATCCCTTGCCATAACTTTTGAGTTGGTTTCTTTGTTTGGATTGTGTACGTGTGCGTATGTGTGGTTTTTTTGTGGTGTTTTTTTTGCAGTGTAGGCGTGCTGCTTCGGTATTCCGCGCCGTTGCGTTGCAGAGTACCGAGAAGGCGGCGTGGCTCGGCGCGGGGGGGCCGCACGCCGGGCCGCACAGCCCGCGCAGCCCGCCGAAACACTCGGCGAGCCGAAAGCAACGCGCGACGCGCGAATCTGCAGAAATATCACTGCGGCGCGACGACTGCTGCGGCCGGGATGGAATGCAGCGAGACTTTCGCGCGACGCGCTTTATTTTGGCGTCTCGCGTTCGGTCGGCGCGAGGCGCAAATTCGGGTCACGGAGACGAGCGGCGCGCAAACAGAAACACGCACGCTCGCGCACGGGCGCGCACGGACAGCCACCGCCAGCACGGCGACGTGCAGTGCAACAAGGTGCGCGACAGTGCGTGCTTCCTGACGAGCCAAATCCCCCGTCCATCCGGCCGTCTGTCGGTCTGCACAGTGGGCCAGAAGACCGGTGGAGGCGGTCGAGATCCCGGACGCGTTTTGAACTCCAGGGTCGCTAAATGGGACTCGAACCGAACGTGTGACCCCATCAATGGATTGCTCTTCGAACGCGGAATCCATTGGTGGGGTCACACGGTCGATTCTAGTCCTGCTTAGCGACTCTGGAGCTCAAAACGCGTCTAGGAGTTTTGGCCGCCTCCACCGGTCTTCGGCCCACTGTCCGTGGCTGAGCCGATCCGGGGATCAACGAGAAGCCCGCCAAAACGAGCCCGCGAAAACCACCAGCGCCGCCCCGTCGTTCCAGTACTCCTCTTCGTCTTTCCCTTCCTCCTCCACGTCTGTCCCTCTTTCTCCTGCTGGGAGGGGGGGGGGTCGCTGGCTGCGGGCACTCCAGGACAAGGGCGCAGGGAACGAGGAGGACGAAGTGCAAACCGAAACGAAGCGAGGGGGATGCCGTGCCGACGTGCCGTACTGCAGCTCATGTCTGCAGCGAGGCGGCGGGGCGCGGCGGGGCACAGCGGCACACCAAGAAGCACGCGGCACAGCGGGGCACGGCGAGAATGAAAGACGATCGAGTGTCTCGCGGGCATTCTGCCTTCTCTCTCTCTCTTGCCGTTCTCGCCGTCCTCCGCGCATTCCCTCGCCTTCTCTGCTCCGTGTCTCCCGCTCCGTCCGCCCGTCCGCCCGTCCGCCCGTCGTCGGCCAACCAGTACAGTGGAAATTTCCACCAGGAAAGAGGGTCATAGACCGGCGGCGCGCGGTGCCCCTCTCCTCTCCTCTCCTCTCCTCTCCTGATCACTGCCCTACCCCGCCCCGCCCCGCCCCGCCCCGCCCCGCCCCGCCCCGCCCCGCCCCGCCCCACCCCGCCCCGCCCGCCTGCACGGCTCGGTTTGTGCAAGGCATGGGACTGCAGCGCGGAGCCGCGGAGCCACGCGGAGCACATCGCCGTGCAGCTGACACGGCGACACGGCGAGCTGACAAGGACGAGCGGCCGTGACAGACAAGGCAGCTGACAGGCGGCAGATGGCCGAGTCGAAAGAGCTGACGCACGGGGCGCCGGCAGCGCAGATAAAGGACACGCAGGCCTTGCACAAACCATGGCAAAGGGAAACAAATGAAAATAAATGTCGAACAGTGACTCTGCATTCTGGAACCCGAATCTAGAGCCCTGGACCCGAATCCGGAGAACCCCTGCCGTATCGTGGATAGGCAGTCCCGGCGACTCGGCTGCTCAACGGGACTGCCTATCTCGCAGGCGCCGTGGCCGAGGCCGTGACCCGGCGTCTCGCCGAGGGAGAGTCTGCCCAGACTGCACGGCCAGACTGCACGGCCACGCGAGGGGCCAGGGGGTTCGTGCGCTCGTGAACTTCTCCTCGAGACTGGCAGGCGAGGCGTGGCGTGGCGTGGCGTGGCGTGGCGTGGCGTGGCGTGGCGT